CTGTCCACAACTCTGGAAGAGTATCGAAGTATCCTGGGAAAGTTATTCCCAAACTTCTCTCCAGAGTCTTTGGCAAATCTGCCACGGGAGAAACTCCTCGAGCTCACCACCGCCCCGTCGGGCTCTCACATGCAAGCACTTCCACATCATGCCGATTCCCCATCGACATCGGCTTCCCTGGAAGCACATGTCTCACCTTTGTCAAATGACGATGACAACCTCGAGGCTCTGCAAACTATGCCCGAGGAACTCCCGGATAGCCGTAATACTAGCTCCTCGGATCTAGTAGAGGGTGTCTCGGATGACGTTAATGGCCTGTCGCTGTCGGCTCGCCAGCCTTCATCTTACCTGGGTGTATCATCTATCCAGGCTGTGATTAAGGTCATTGTCTGGTTAGATCCAGGCTGTGCCTCGTACTTTTCGCGAACTCCCGGGAATGAACAGGAGAACGCGGTAGGATGGCCGCATCATGGGCCTACCACACCACCACAACCCCTTATTTCACTCTCAGAGATGCAAATGCTCGATGCATATTTTCTCTATTTCCAAGCCTTCGCTCCTATGATCGATGAGCGCTCCTTCCGCGAGGCTTACTGTGCCGGTAGTCGGAAAGATGATCATTGGCTTGCTCTGCTGAACATCGTTCTTGCTCTCGGTTGCATTGCGGCTACAGGACACGATGATGTAACACACCAGACATACTTCTTGCGATGCAAGGGCCACCTAACTCTGAGTTCCTTGGGAAGCTCCCATATCGAGACTATTCAGGCGCTGGGCCTATTGGGCGGCTGGTATTGCCACTATATCAGTCAACCGAATCTGGCGTACTCCATTTTGGGTGCTGCGTTGCGTATGGCGACTGCTCTGGGACTGCACAAGGAGTTTGCGGAGACTCGTCAAATACCGAGTCCGGCGAAACTAGCCTCCATGGATCTCAAGCGCCGCGTCTGGTGGTCTTTGTTCTGCATGGATACCTGGGCCGGCATGACACTAGGCCGGCCTAGTATGGGTCGGATGGGTTCCAACATTACAGTCAAACCTCCCCTTTGTCGAGACAAGGTAGGTCATGTTCCTTTTTAAGAAAGAATGATCGTTTGACTAATGACCCTCTAATAGGGAAACGTCCTCGAGATTCTCCCCTTAGTAGAAAATATTCGCTTCGCCAAGATCGCAACCCAAGTCCAAGAGTCCCTCGCCGCAGCACCGCTAGTCAAGCACCAAGAAATGTCCCACGCAGATGCACAGCTCCTCGAGTGGTGGGACAACCTCCCCTCCGTCCTGAAAGACCACGAGCCCTGCTCAGAATCAATAAACACCGTCCGCACAGTCATGCGCTGGCGCTACTACAACCAGCGCATCCTCCTGTACCGACCAACACTGCTCAGCTACGCCATGCGCCGCGTGCCTTATATCGCACTGCGATCCGAGGAGCGCACCGCGATTGAAAAATGTCGCGAAGTCGCAGAGGAATCTATTCGGAATATCGCTGCTACCGCGCAGCTCAATCAGCTGTGCGGATGGAATGCTGTCTGGTGGACCTTCCAGGCTTCTCTGGTTCCCTTGGTGGGATTGTTCCTCAACGATCCAACGGCAAATGACCCTCGCGCGTCCGTTGAGTCCTGTCAGGCGCAGGTGGAAATGGCTATGATGACCCTCGCCCGTATGCTGTCCTTTGGCCATACGGCGAAGCGGTCGCTGGATGCTATCTCGCGTATCTACGAGGCCAGCAAGCGGGGGCAGGACCTCACTGATCTTGATTCTTCCGCTAGTATCCTTAGTGACTCTTATCCCGCTGGTCGGGATATGCCATTCATGTTTCCACCGCCTGAACCGGGTCGTGGTAACATGACTATGGGCGAGAATGGGTTCCTTGACCCTCTCGCTACTACCCCGTTCACGGATGATTCTGGGGGTCAGTATCTCTGGGAGTATCTGAGCTGGAGTGACAACAACTTGTGGCCGGGGATAGTCACTGATACTGATGGGAGAAACGATGTGATGACGTTGTTGACTGCCGATCATGACAAAGGCCCAAAATTCGGAGAACAACCTGCGTATTTTGATCCCTTGCCGGATCCTGGGTACTTTGCAAATGGTGGAATTTATTACTGAACGCTTGTTCTCTTCTCTATTATTTTTGTTCCAAACTTTTCGATTCAGCATGTTAGCATAGGGCATATGTGGGAAATGAATTTATGACAGAACTTGACCTTTCATTTCAATGCTTCAAGTATATCAATGTACTGTAAGATTCCTTATTTTTCTCATATTTCTCAGATCCCACGATGCCTTCCACAGACCAGACATCAAGGTTCAATTCAGACAAAAAAAATTGTGATAAGAGGTATCGTCAACTCCCAATTTAAATTGTATCGTACATTCATAGTGCGGCATAATATTGAGCCAGCGAATCTATCATTGCGTCTCGTCGTTCGGGATTTTCGTCCTCAAAGATCTTTTGAACGTGTCTGTTGTGTTTCAGACTTGCAACCTGGCTATGCGCATCACCGTATCCAACTGGACCGTCCAACTGCACAGGGCCTCTCTTCCGTTTGTCATCGGAGCCTGATAATGTTTCACTCGAGCCCAGGTGAGCAAGTGAGTTTCTGAGAACATCGCCAATGCTCACGTTTGCCACCAGAGGGAGTGAACTGAGGACCTTTGTATAGTATGGGATCAGAGTGCCGTTGGATACAATTGATTTGGTCACAGCTGTCAGGCTCAGTGAGCCTCGCCTGATAGCTGGGCTCTGTGAGTTGAGAACTTCGGTGAGGTTGCCTATCATTGTACCGATGTCGATCACACCTCTCAACGGGAAAGTGTTGTTGCCTGGTCTAAGTGTGACGTCTTTGACCGTTGCTTTGCCGATGACTAGATCTGTGTTGCCGCTTTTGAGGTCGAGTGTGATAGTGCCAACTTCGAAGGTGAGGGCGGAGGGGTTTGGAAGTGTAATATTGGCAACGAGGTTGGATCCATCTCCCTCTGCCGGTAAGACGAATGTGCTGTTTGCGATGGAGAAGCCTGCAAACTTGTTCAAAGCTATTTCAGAGATTAACAAACCGTACACGGGTGGAAGACCATTGTAGCGAAGTGCTCACTTGGAATTGATACATCTTTATCCAATACAATGTGGTTTTTCAGGACCCCGAGATATCCAGTGGTCACTCCATATAGCGAGAGTGCTGTTTCCTTCCGGAAGACAGCTTGGCTCACAAAGGTTTCCCAGGAAGTCATGTTGAGAATTGGTGTCAACTGGTCGGTGACTCCGAGTGAATAATTCCCCTTGATAGTTTGGCCGGGGATCTCAATTCCCGCATATGCATGTTTATGGCTGGCGGAGCGCACAAATGCGTAGAAGACAACTGGGTCGAGTCGAACGCCCATTGCAAGCTTCAAGTTTACCTTTGCTTCTAGTGTCATCCGTACTGTATCTGCTGTTGGGTGCATCACTTCGGCATTAACGATTCGCAGATCCGATTTATTGACAACTAGTTGAGCGATGGCAGGAATCGCGACCAGAAAGCTTGGTTGGTAGAGTTAGTCTGATGATAAGCAGGAGAATAAGCAAAAGAGCACCTTGACTTACAAAACGGGTAAGAAAATAGCCAAGAATATCACATTAGCGATGAGGTAGATGCACCAGAATCGCCTGCAATGCCGGCGGAATCTATTCTTTTTCGGGGTCGAGTTCACTGATCTGATCTTCTCCAGCCTTTCAGTCTCACCAGGCTCTGGCTTGAGAGCCCCTCGAGTGCCCCCGATAATATAATTTCCTATGCCTAGTGCCATGATAAGGTCTGTTCAATGGAGAGAAGAATGCACAAGATCTATCTATATAATCCCCAAAACCTTATGAAATTATCATATGTCCATGAAAAGATACCGCGGACCGGGGCGACAATGAACTTTATAATATAGCTTCGTTTCCTTTGCGGGGTGATCGCCATCTACTTGTGATATTGTACGGTGGTATGTAAGGTACGTAGACAAGGAAGATGAACCTGAAGTACGTCTCTGCCTAATAAACTGTGATCTCTGTCAAGACTAGCTAGGTTTGAATTGAAAGATTCATAACTTGTCTGTCATATTGCTTTCGTTATAAGAGTAGACCACATAATTTGACGGCATGTAACCTATGAGATCAAGTTGTCCCAATTTAGCCGGCCAAATTCCAAATGCAGACAATGGCTTCCTACCCAAGCGGTTCAAGTGATATAAGTCCGAGGTATAATAATGTATTTTACTTGGCAGGGAGTGTGCTTGATATCTTGATTACGCTGCATATGCCTTGCGTTAATGGTCTCGTTCAGAGTGCCTCGGTGTGGTTTGTGGCTATCATCTTACTTTGCTCAAGCCATTAGGGGAATACCAGGTATTACTTGTCTGGGGGTAAACCTTCTTCCAAATGATCTAGTAAGCATGATCGTTGACTTGTTTGAAGGATTTAAACTAATGTGACGAATTCCCAGTGTTTTCTCGACCGGATATGTGCTATCGCTTCCGACTGTTGCATGTAAGAGCACTGGGCTGGCTAGGATTCAAGGGCTATCAGGCTGAATCCGAGGAGGATGCTTTTCCTGATATCCATCAATTCGCAAGTTGGGCGTTTGGGCCGGATGGTCTGCCAAGCCTACAGGTTCTTTGTTATGGGTTCTTTGTTATGGTGACTTTTCTTACCAAGGGCGTTCACCATACACTACGTTCGGCGTATCTAAATAATTAGACTTTTAGAATTCGAATATGTCGAATTCCCGGGTATCTGACAGAGCATATAGCGTGGTCACAAAGGAGAGCGTCGCGGAGCAAGAGATTTTGCAAGTCAATGCCCGTTTCTCGGAGGCCTGTTCGCAGGATTCTTTATTGTATGAAGACGGTCACCCTTTCTGAACTTCGATGCCAGATCTACACCGATATAAATGAAGCATGCACGATAAACGTAGGACGCATGGTGAACCCACATATCACAATTAACTCGATAGCAACAGCAGTAATCATCTTGGTCACCCCCTCTTCTGATACAGATTCAGGAGACGCTCCATGATAGCGTTTCCCCTTAATCTATTCGTTGTTGCTGCTTCTACCACAGCTTCCGTGATCTTTATGGTGTTCCCCTTTCGATCCAGAAGGGTTTGAATAACACCTATGTCAAATCGTCTGATAATCTCAATCACTAGTTGCTCTGTAACCTCTACTTTGTCTCCTTTTTGACGCAACAGGAGTTCCATGATGGAGTTCGCACTTTTCCGATTTGCAACTGTTGCAGCCGTAGATGAGGGTGCTTTGCAGATTTCCGTGACATCCCAATTTTGACGCAGGTATAGTGCTTCAACAGCATTCCTACTTTGCCAGTTTGCTGCCACTAGTTCCACCACGTCTCTGGTTACCTGGATCTCAACCCCCGCACGATCCAAAAGGGCTTCAACAACATTTTCGTCGAAACTTTGCAGGATCTCGATAACCAGCTGCTCGTCCATTTCCACCTTGACTTCCTTCTGATGCAACAGAAGCATCATGATGGCATTTCCACTTTGCCAATTTGCCGCCGCCGCTCTCACTATGGCAGTGGTGATATTCACTTTGTCTGCCCTTTGGCTTAGGAGAGTTTGAACAACAACTGTGTTGAATCTTTGGATGATTTCAGCCACCACCTCTCCGGTTATCTCCACATCTTCTCTTCGATTTAACAGACGTGTGATTACGTCGATTCCTGCTTTATTCATAGCGGCCGCTTGAACCACGGCTTGCGTGATCTTCACCTCGTGTCCTCTTTCATCCAGGAGAAGTGTCATAATATCAGCTCCACTCGATCCGTGCCCTGCAGCTGCTTGGACTATGCCCGAGGTGATCTTTACTTCATCCCCTCTTCGATCCAAGAGGCTTCGTATCATACCGATGTTGAAGGTTCGGACGATTTCAATTATCACCTGCTCGGTAATTTTAACATCCTCTTTTCGATCCAATATAATTATCATGATGTCATTTCCTTTTTGTGAATTCGCTGCGGCAGCTCGGACAACGCCTGTCGTTATCTTTACCTCGTCGCCTCTTCGATCCAGAAGAAGTGTCATGATGACATCGCCACTTGATCTATTGGTTGCGACTGCTCGCACCACATCCTCGGTGATCATAACGTATCCTCCTTTTCGATCCAAGAGAAGCGTGATGATAGCCTGTCCATATGACTCATTCGCTGCGGCTGCTTGTACTGCCTTTTCGGTGATCCTAACCCCTTTTTCCAAGAGAATCTCTGTCAATCGGTCTCCACTCTCCTGGCTTGCTGCAGCCAATTCTATCATTTCATCCGTGATGATTGTGTTTGATTCCTTGAGTAAGAATTCGACGACATGTACCAAATCAAACTTTATTGCCCAAAATAATGACGGCTTTGGGGGGTTACCGATCCAAGTCAATGACTCAAAGTCCAGCCTCTGTAAAGGCTCCCAACGACTATGGTGAAACCAAACAGAAGATGATCCATTGCCCACTTCGCAAAGGTGTAATACCTTTCTGATCCAACCGATTCCTAATCCATCTCCATGAAGGCCGTTTGGTCCTATTGCATTTCGCACATGGAGTGCCCAATGATTTGCTGAATACTTCAGGAATGCGTGTGCCTGTCTCCATTCTATCCGAGAAAACCGATGAAGGCCTTCCTGGAATTCCTCGAGAAGAAGATAGGAAATGCACGCCTTCGCAAGAGTTAGGTGCGCATGGCGGATATCCAATGAACTTTTCCATCCTCGTGGCTGCTGGAGCTCGTGTTCCTTTGTGAGCAGAAACTCTCGAGCTGTCTGGTGAATGAGGTAGATTCGTTCGTCTTGTATTCTGACAAACAAGCCACACGTATCCCGAATCCAATCCTTTCTGGCCTCGGACCCTTCAAGGTCTAAATCACTGCATGATCTTGAATCGATTTGGACTTCTAAGACCACATCCATTTCATCCAATCCCAACGGGCGTTTAGCAGCCACAATTATCTCTAACAGCCTTTTCGCATTCTGCTCGTTTCTTTTCTTGCATTTCTTAAGTATTTTGTCATATGCTTCCTCAACTGTTGCTGGCAAAACAGAGATTGCTCGAAGTAATTTCTTTTCTGTTCTCCCAGGCTCTCGTTTGATTTCCTCCAGTACCAAGTGTAACCAGAGGTATGTTGTATGAGTAACATTCGAAAGACGGTGCTTCAGGGCGGCTCGAACATTGTCGCTAAAGTAATCCATCTCTTCAATCTTCGCATCAATAACCACGCGTATCTCATCACTGATTGCTTTCCACTCTTCCTCTCCCGCAATTCGGATAGTTGGAAACCGTTTGCTTAGATCGCGGAATTCTAGTTCAATGTCTCGATATGGACGACCAGTGACAAGAAACTTCAGCTTAGTCTCGGCGCCAACACTTTCTCGAGAAGATATGTAGAAGTCCTTCAGCTCTTTGATGAAATATTCTCGATCCGGCTGTTGGCATTCATCGATGGCATCCAGTATGCAGATCATGTTTGCACTGCTCGCATCATTTGTTGCAGATAACAACAACTGCCATAGCGCATGAAAATCGGATTTCAGGCCGTCCCCATGTAGTTCCACTGCTTTAATAGCGTATCTCTCAAACAGTTCCATTTTAGCACAGAATATCTGATGCAAGAGTGCGCATATTGCTGTTGCAGTATTATTTTGCTCCTCGTTGTCTTTGAAAAAGAAGTAGCAGACTGTTGCGGATCCGTCATCGAGGAGTCGTTCGTCAATCAAAGCCCTTGCGAGCACGGATTTTCCACATCCTGGGTCTGCCGAAAGCCATAAGAGATCGTTGTGGTCGCTGTCTCTCCAGTTGCAAAAAGTGGAATGAGCTAAGAACCAGTTGCAAGTGTTTCTGACCCGAGAAGGATTCAAGTTCTTGTGGCGTTGGTAGGCTGAAGTTTTGAAGAAATTAGGCTTTATATCTGTAATTTATGTTAGCTTTGACCTCGTAATTATTGCCCTACTCAAGAATATTTGGGTTGCGAAGGAAATACCAACCTAAACGACGGCTCCCCACATTGATCGGGCCATTATTGATCCCCACCTGGACCCCAGAGTTAAAGTCACCAAACGACATAATCAATCCGACGCGCGATATGCAGGGCTCTTAGCAGAGGGAAGTAAGGTACAAAATTGAACAGAGGGGAAGCCAGAGCCTCACCATCGGGTGAGTTGGCCACGCTAGTGTTAGTATTGGCTCACAGCGAAGTGGATCATACGAGTGCACCAGTGGAAATCACAACAGGTCTGTGTTGCTGCATAACGTATTTCACTACCGAGCTGGACATACCCCCGAGCTGGACACCCCAGAACACCATAGTAAATGCGATAAATTACAACACAGTATCACAACAACATTAGGCTATAGGGACTTTCCCTTAAGAACTAATGCTTTTTAGGTGCTATCTAGTCTCTAAGAGGAGTTTAAAAAATTTCTATGAACTAGTAATTGAGATATATATAATTCAGACCCTCAGTAACGTAATTTTCGATACTATAACAATATAGGTTATAGGATTCTTTAAAATCGCTATATAGTGTTCAAAAACGTTATCAATAGCTATTGGCAAATAGCAAAAAAAAAAAAAAAAGACGTGGTCGTTGAGTTATCAGCGTAGAATATATCGTATTTACTATGGTGTTCTAGGGTGTCCAGCTCGGGGGTATGTCCAGCTCGGTAGTGAAATACGTTAGATGGCCCCTAACTAACTATATAGTTATACAAATTCTCAATTTATTTCTAAAGCTCGTTTATATCTATAATGAATGTTATATTGAACGTCCTCCCTTGTCCCAACTGCTTCCGATTATATAGGATTGTGTACCCTACTCCTATTCTTTACGCTAAATTGACAGAAAGCTCGTGTACGAACAATGTATGGTATAGATGACCAATGTTCATAACTCTAAAATGACAAAACCCGCTATTTCAACAATCTGTGCGGACATTGATGACGAACTGTAATATGTACTTTTGTATGGTATGCCTGGTACCCAATGTCATATGAATGATGTTTCCAGTATAATACCTGGTTTCTACCATGTATTCGGACTTGGTATTCGACATAAATTCCTATTTGAATCCGGTCTATACGAATAGAACGTCGGGGCGGATATTAGAGCAAACTAAATAAGGCCGATAAGATCGCCGAGTAGGGTTGCTTAAGTGTAATAAGTAATTGTAGAATGAGGTTATTGAGAGAATCACAAACATTTTTCAGTTCTTCAACTATAGCAGCTAGGTAACATTCCAAAAGAAGCGTTCTCGCATTCAACCTACCGATCTTGACCTCACCACTGAGATTCATGAGGACGCTTGCACTATCATCCTTGTTGGGTAGGTATCCTGCCCGAAGGCTATTTTGCTCGCTATGCCGAACCCGCCTTTATATATCCATATATCCGCATCCAAGCAATTAATTCTTTTTATTTCCATTCTCCCATATACCATGTATTCACCAGCGACGGCGGTCTTCGGAACCAATTCAGGCCGCGATCGGTCTTCGCGCCCCGAAAAGACCGAAGGTGCATCCACTCGACAATAGGTTCGCCGAGATATTGCAACTACGAACGGTCATAGTCTGTTCTAAGCCTTTGGAGGGATTTGTATAAATTGGAGCCCAGGTTGATAGTTCAGATTAAAACTCACTTCCTTCAAGACTTTGCATTCTCTATTACCAGCCACTTAGCTTGTTCTCACATCCGCTCACCATGTTGCTAGAATTGGCCCCTGCGGAAACCATCTTTCAGTCCTCGAAGAGGCCAGAGGCGCCTGGAACAGGGTACGGTGGCTTTCACCCAACCAGTATAGTTCTACCAGAAGGTCACTGCCGAACCCCAGAATGCAGGCCACTTCCAATAGCTCTTATCTGGGATCGGGATGTTCCACTCCGTATGCGCGACGGTGTTCAGATTCGAGTGGATATATTTCGGCCTGAAGAAGCTGTGGCTCAGTTGCCAACTTTGATGGCGTGGAGTCCCTATGGTAAAACCGGGGCTGGTGGGCTTTTATTCTTGGATATTCGTAAATTTGGCCTCTGCTAACTTTTTGAAGGAGTAATCAGCCTGGATATGATTCCTCATCGCGCAGGGATTCCAAAATGCAAGCTATCCGGGTACGAGAAATGGGAGGCCCCTGACCCAGCAGAGTGGTGTGCAAAGGGGTATGCAGTGGTGAACGTTGATGCCCGTGGCGTTTTTGATTCTGAGGGAGACATTAGGTATGTCCATATACTGGGGCCCATTTTCAACAGAGGTTTGATTCAAACTAATGGCATGCAGATGGCTGGGAACCGGAGAAGGCCAGGATGGTCATGATGCCATTGAAGAGGTTGCTAAGCTACCTTGGTCTAATGGACGGGTTGCACTCGCTGGTAACTCCTGGCTTGCAATGGCTCAGTGGTTTATTGCAGCCGAAAACCCACCTCATCTCACATGCATTGCCCCTCTGGAAGGAGCAAGTGACTTCTATCGGGAAACTTTGTGCCGGGGAGGAGTTCCCTTTAAGCCTTTCTGGGATATGTTACGCACATGCCTGGTTGGACGCAACCGTGTCGAAGACCCTGTCGCGATGATTGAGAAGTACCCTAACTGGCATGCTTATTGGGAAGACAAAAGAGCACGGCTAGACAAGATATCAATTCCTGCCTATATCTTGGCTAGCTACTCGACAATGATCCATACCGAAGGATCCTTTCGCGGGTTTGAAGACATTGCGTCTAAAGATAAATGGCTCACTGTGCATGCCACCCAGGAGTGGTTTGATCTCTATTCACGGGAACGAATTGACGACCTCGCCTCCTTTTTTGATTGTTATATGAAAGACTGCAACAATGGCTGGAAGAACACTCCCAGGGTTCGGGCCTCGATACTTCCATTCAACAATGTCGCGATGGTCAATGTTCCTTTCTCTGCCTGGCCTCCTGTGAAAACGGAGTATCACAAACTATATTTGCAGTCTTTCAACACCTTGTCCACGGAGTACGCAAACTCAAAGTCAGGAGTCGCACACTACCCAGCTGACCAACCTGGTACCCAGGGAGGAGATGACTCCGGTCAACTGTCATTCTCATACAAATTCGCGTCGCGTAAGATGCTTTTGGGGTATTCGAAGGCTGTTCTCTTTATGTCGGCCGAGCAGGCTGATGACATGGATGTATTCGTGCAGCTTCGCAAGGCCGATAGACAGGGTGAGATTCTTGAGCACCTGAATATACCCCTCAAAGATATGGAGTTGTCGAGGGTGAATGAGGTGCAACAGATCAATCCGTTGAAATATCTTGGTCCCCCTGGAATTCTGAGGGCCAGTCACGCAGAGCTTGATCCTACCCTTTCTACGGATTTCCACCCTGTCTATACCCATCAAAACCCCCAAAAAATCACTCCGGGCCAGATCGTGAAGCTAGAAATCTCTATTTGGCCCACTGGAATCTTATTCGAGCCTGGTGAGAGCTTGGTTTTGAGGATTGGTGGCAACCCTCAAGTGTTGGCAGAGTTCTCTGCACTTCGGGGCAAATGGCTGTCTAATAACAATGGCACCAATTCTGTTCATTTTGGTGGAAAGTACCTTAGTTATATCTCCGTTCCATTTGTTTAGGTTTTTTGAGCCTATGTGAAGATCCTTTTCCCTGCTCAAGAATAGCCCTGTTAGAATGTGGCAATAGAGCTACAGAGTCCGAAACAAATACTATATATAACTTACCTATACCGTCGTTTTCTATTACTTTTAGTACCTCCCGAGCGCCGTGAGCGAGCTCGTTTATGGTGCTAAAGTGGTTACGTGGTTGTTTAGGCGCTCTTAAAAACTTAGTTTTAGGGGGTAAATCCGGTTTTCTTCCACCACCGGCGACAACCATCCTTCAATACCTACAAAAGTAGGACCAAAAGATAGAGCCGGAAGTTAGATAGATTATGAACAAATTTTGAGAGCCGTACGGCCTTTGGTTAGCGAGATATAACAAAAATTAGATCTGAGCAAAAAGAGCTGCGTTGTTCGGCGGGTATATTGCCCTCTTGATCGACCGTATTCTTGCCGACTAGTTATTGCAAACCAGCAACAGCCTACTTAAACACGTCTTATCTCCACTCGGTTTTACCAACAGCTCCGATACTTCTTCGAGCATAACCCGATCGGGTTGAAGGTCGCAAGGTTTACTTGAAAGGTTCTCTCTAGGTTCTAGGAGAGGTTCCTCAAGATTGAATTGAGGTGATCACAGCGGATGCTTTGTTTATAAAGCCAAAGATTGGGAATGAGAGATATTGTCTGTGAATTATTATAGCCGAGTGCAAAACCAGCTTCACTGTTCTGTACTTTTCTCTTGATTTTGGGCCCCACTGCTGAGACTCTAGTTTGAAGAATGAGTGCAGTTTAGTGAGGTATGATATGTCCTCTCTTCCTCACTGGCGTAGAACCTTATAGATCTAGTCACTGACTCAGCCATCTAATTGTGGCAAACCACAAACGCATTAGTTGTATAAGATCTAGAACACCGTGGAACTTGATGGCACATCCTATAAGTAGGAAAGGCGTATAAATTCTGTTTTTCTCCCAGGCCCTTCTTTTACAAAGATATTAGAAAATAGAGGGAAGGAATGACTAAAATCATTGACGCCTACTATAAGCAAAATCGTAGGAAAGAAATCCGCCCTGAAGCGTGTCCTAAGACAAGTAAGTCCCCATTAATCGCAAAACAGTTGGGCGGACAGTCAGGAGGAAGCCATAGTATAGTTTTGTCGTTCAGGCTTATCCATTGTCCTTGATCAATAGAAATCGCCAGATTCCTATAGGTTGGACTAGAAGCATGATATTCGTGCCCGAACTGAACATTGAGGGTGCCCGAGTTGGTGATTAGATATGAACCATCTTGAGAAAATTTGAGTTCGGTAACCATTCTCGTGGCCTTCAAGGTATGCTGTAGACCGCCCGTAGCCGTGTCCCAGAGCCGCACTGTCATGTCACCAGAGACGGACGCTAGCAGCCGGCCGTCGGGCGAGAAGGCCACCGACTGAACCGAGTGTGGATGGCTCTCGAGGGCCTGCTGTATACCGCCCGTCGCTATATCCCAGAGCCGCACTGTCGTATCACTAAAGCCCGATTAGGGGATCGCCAAGCTAGTAAGCGAAGCATTCCGAGGGTATTCCTAGGAGTATAGACTGGTATAGGAAAATAATAGGTCAATTGAATAGCCCTACTACGAGTTTTTCACCTAGATAGGATCGAGACCGCTAGGATAAGCGGTCACGTTAATTACGCTAGTTCTTTTTTGATAGCTAAATAGAAAGGGACGTACGTGATAGGATTAGCGTGTCGCATTTTATTGATATAGCTTACTCAAGCCGCTCATCCCTATACTCAGAGAGCACTCAGTGAGCGGATCACGTTGATTATATAATAACCCGTGATCAAATTAGGGTACTCATTTTTACTCAGTGATCAAAAAGCGGCAAGAGGTGAGCACTAAAACGGAAAGTAAAAGGTCTCAAGTGCCAGGCATTATCCGGTACAAATGTACATAGCCTGCATGTATACTTCCGTCCCGATTAGGCAATATAGTGGATACAGGCCATGCTGAGTCACCCTGACATCAGGCCTAGGCGGAATGCGGCCCTGGTGGCATCAACATCTTCCACGTAAACATCCGCCAACTTACCAAGCACGAATTACATGGAATGGTATTGAAGTGAATTAATTTACACTCACGATCACTACGGATTTTAAGGGCAAAACTTTCTTTGAAAAAAATTGGTTGGATGTGCAGCTCCTGACATCCTTCGAAATACGCCGAGGGGTTCATCAAGACACCCAATTATGCGAGCTAGCCACAACAGACTATCTATAAACCTTTGATTTCTTCATTTGATTTTCATTGAAAGACAAAAAAAAAAGAAGTCCATGATAAGAAAATGGCTCTTTTCAACTCTCCAGCGCGAGTCTTCCTCGCTGCAACAGTCCTCCGCCTCATCCTCCTCGTCTATGGAGGTTGGCAGGACGCGTATTCCGCGGTGAAATACACTGATATCGACTACATGGTTTTCACTGATGCTGGGCGCTATGTTGCAAAAGGAGAGTCGCCCTATGCTCGCGATACCTACCGCTACACGCCACTCTTGGCGTGGATGCTTCTCCCGACTGCCTGGGAGGGTGCCGCGCCTTGGTCATCGTTGACTTTCGCCTTTGGAAAGGCACTTTTTGCATTGTCTGATGTCCTTGCTGGATGGCTTGTTGTTCAGCTGCTTGTCCGATGCTATCGCTTTCCTGTTGAGCGCGCGCTGCGATATGTTGCCGCTGTTTGGCTGTGGAATCCCATGGTTGCCAATATCAGTACCCGTGGTAGTTCGGAAGGACTACTAGGCGTGCTTGTTGCGGCGCTTCTGTGGGCAACTTTGACGAAAAAACCTATCCTTGCTGGGCTTATCCTGGGTCTTGCTGTACATTTCAAAATTTATCCGTTCATCTATGGTGTCTCCATTCTCTGGTGGTGGGATGCTGAGCGCGATGGGTCTGCAACAGCTTGCTCAGATCTGCTTTCAAAGGCTTTCAGATTCATTACCCCGTCCCGGGTGAAGTTTACTGTCGCGGCACTGGCCAGCTTTGTGGCATTGAATCTCGTCATGTACCTCCAGTACGGCCAACCATTCCTGCATCACACATTCTTCCATCATCTTACTCGAATCGACCACCGTCACAATTTCTCTCCCTATAGTACACTACTGTATCTGTCTGCTGCGGGAGGGGCCGAAACTCGCTTCGAGGCACTGGCCTTCCTCCCGCAACTAATCCTTGTGGTTGTTGCCTTGCCTCTTGTTCTAGCAAAGAAGAGCTTGACTACTGCAATGCTCGCACAGACCTTTACCTTTGTCACTTTTAACAAAGTCTGTACTAGCCAGGTATGTGATTCCATTTGAAAATGGTCATATCAGTAGCTAACCTGTCCAGTATTTCCTCTGGTACCTCATCCTACTTCCGTTTTACCTACCCTCCTCCTCGCTTATTCGCAAACCGACTCTGGGCATTTCAGCAGCCGTACTATGGATTGCTGGACAGGTATGGTCTATTGGTCCTCTGGTGCCAGAATTTTCACTGGGATTTCAACTCTAACAGACCATATAGGCCCTTTGGCTGCACCAAGGTTACAACCTCGAATTCCTAGGCCTGCCGTCCTTCGTACCTGGGCTGTTCCTTGCAGGGCTTTTCTTCTTCGCTGTGAATGTTTGGATTCTGGGCATCATTGTTCGGGATGGAGGGGAGGGTGCTGGCGAGATCACAGTTGCACTGAAATGAGAGGGGAACTACATGTATTTGATAGAGATGTGTACATAGTTACGGATCTTAGATAAAAGCAACCATGATTGATCGGGGCGACATTTAACTACATACAATACATGCATACCAACCCATCAGACGTGCGTTATTGGTCAACATGACTGAGAGAATCAACAATCAACCCAACCGGCGAGAACACAAGCACATGATTCTCCGACTTGTTGGATTCACCCATTAACTACTCCAATCGACGCATGGCGTCGCAAGAGAGTGTTTTGGTACTCAAACAACAGCTTGCCCTCTTAAAAAAGGCAAGTCAAAGATAGAAAACAAACCCGGGCAACAAGAAAGTGAGCACAGTTTCTGTTTTGCTTCTTCGAAGAATTGAAGAAGTTTGTAGCACCTCGGGCCATTGCACAACTCTGACACATTAACAGAAAAAAAAAAAAGAAAGGAAAGATTAAGGAGCTCGAGTGTGGTCATGCTTGAAGTGCACATAGCAACTCAGGTATGCCCCTAAAATGACATCCACTGATGTAATATCACAAAAGGGCAGATTTTGAACGCTGAACAAGAGACTCAGTGAGATGACGGAAACGATGAAGTGGTATTATGCTGAACGAGGAGATGAATGGATGAAAATCAGGTCAGAACGCCGAAGAGAAGATCAAGGCGAGCTGTGAGCCTAGTAAGGGTTGGAGCTGTCGGCAAGAAAACTGTACATGTTCACTTGGATACCCAGAGGGCGAACTCGGGGTATCAAGGCGCCCACAATTTGCTGGTCATCGTACTCCGCGGCTGTTCCATCTGTAAGCGCCATAAATGAGGCCGATGGTCGGTTCATACGCAAAGCTTCCAGGATGTCTTCACTCCACAGGCCTGTGCATTCGTTATTGACAAGTTGGAAATAAGGGTTCAGAGGTGGGCAGGTTGAGTCGAGGTCGATGAAACGGATCCGCAAGTACTCCAGGACAGGGAGGGCGGATAGACACTCGATTGCCTTGATCACCATTGCCTCAAACGCACGAATAAATGCAATGCTGGTAATTCCACCTATTCCTTGGCTCATCTGCGACTAGTGGTGTGATTTGTCCACTTTTTTATTGTGACAGCACGCCTTGACTACAAGGTCCAGTGACCTGAGCCGAGAATCAGAACTCATTGCTGTTGCCCCTTGTTTCAATGTCTCAAAGAAGTACCAGCATATACGACCAGTGTAGGTGAAGGACTCTAAGCGCGGAGCTGTCTCGCCGAGCAGACTGCAGATTGGAGGAAGCGTGGTTCGAGGCCCAGAAAGCCCACCCAGCAAACTATCATTGTTGTAAAATCCCTCAAAGCTGAGATTGATGTATCGGATTGTAACTCGAGGGTGGGTGAGGATATGTATCATGATGAAATAGGCATTTATATGGGGTTGGGCCCAAGCACAATGCCATTCACTCAAAGCTGGCAATGCCCGTGAAATATTGTGCCAGTCGTCAAGTTGTCGCATCAGGTTCCAGGCACCTCGCATGATGAATGTTTGTATGTGTTCAAGAACAGGTAAACGCCGTTGGAGGAGAGCCTGCAGACTGTACATGCCACGACTATGGCGGAAATGTCGGACCATAGGCGGGTTTTTACAGTGGCCACCGTCCAGAGTGAAAACTCGGGCAGCGGTAAAAAAGCGCCGAATAACCCCGAAAATTTCCTCCAAGGAAGCGTTGTTGGTTGCACGGTGATAATAAAACATCTCACTTCCCTGGTGGTGGTCATGATTCCACTGTACAGGTATAACACGTCCTGCCGCTGTCTGAGCGGCATGTTGTTCCGCATTCAAGCGAGAAATGTTAGGCCGAAGAGCCCGATCTCCCCAGATAGGCGTCCAAATCTCAATGTGACAGACGTAAGGAATTAAATGGGGGTTTCTCTTGAACCACCGCACACAGTGGGCCAATTCATCTCTATTGCCCTTGATTCTGACTACATAAAACAGTCAATTGTCAGTACAATCCGTTTGGCCTTTAGTTTCACATTCAGATAAAACTTACTATGGCGGTAAATCCGGCTTTGAACAAGTCCAGTCCATACCCGGCAAGTCAAGGCCAGGTTGGAAAGCGCCCTCCGCCGCGGATGATGGAGAGCCTTGCTCCAGTTCTGAGCAGAAGATTGACCATGTGCTGTATGATTACCAGCCGAGGCTCTTTTGCCAAAGATATGATCCATAATAATCTCATGAATCTCAACTGGAAGGGCCACGAATTGGATTGCCCACTGGGCTGGGGCTGAGATAGTCAATGCGGGGACTTCTGCGGGGAGATGAGATTGGTCCTCACTCGCGGGGATAGGGCTGGAGGTACGGTTTTCACAGATATCCCCGGAAAGGATATTTGCACTGGTGCTGCAGTTTGATTTCCCTACGCTTGCAGGAACTGTAACAGGTGGACTATTTAGTGAATTGACTGACACTAGCCGGGGAGGAATTGTAGACATCATGAGAGAAGGAAGGGATGAGGATGCGAGATAAGGGGAGTTAGAAGTCATTGATGTGACTTGCTCTTCTTCAGAAGAGAAACTGCAACCTGATAGCTAGAATTTGGCATATGTCAGTGAGCAAACAGGCCATGTTAGACTGAGCATATACACTGCACTCAACTCAACAGCTGTGGTTAACCACTGATGTCAAAGCCGCACCGGCCCGATGTTCGGTCTTGCTACAGACGGGGATCTCGGTGGGTCAAATTCAAGAAGAAAGAAGACAAATTACAGAAATAGAGGGGGTCGCTGATCAGGCTGCTGGGCAGCTTGATGAGGCGGATTGGAAGGGGGATGGCGGGGAGAGAGATATGCCTGGCTGAAAATAAAGAGTTGAGAAGAAGATGAAAAGAAGCAGAGAACGTACTACAGAAGAAAGCAAATGCAAAGTACATATGTAGAAGCAGAAAGTGACGATGTTTGTGGGAAGGAGGCTAAATGTAAAAGAGGAGAGATGTTGCGCGACACGGACCTTTTACCATTGGAACACTTGATATTGGGACTTTTAAAGAAGGGGAACGAGGATTGTGATCAGTAAAATAAAATAAATATGATTAGAATAGACCGGCGATTGCATTATACATGTTATATTAATTTATGACTCTTATCCTATGGCAGATCGTATACAGCCGTGATAGTTACATTGGCCCTATAGTTAGTGATGCCATCATCCAGGAAATGCGGAACATGACAGAGATGGTCCATACATATTTAGTTATTGTGATTGAACTCAAGCATTATTTACTTACAAACATACATACATAACGCACAGATCGGCCAAGGAATGAAAGGGTATCGATGCAGAATGGACGCTACAAACTATTGCAAAAAAAAAAAAAAAAAAAAGGAAAAAAGGTGTAAGCTAACGCTTACGCCTGAAACGGAAACGAAGGCCATCATCGCTGTCCGAATCGCGCTCCTCGCGAGCCCTCTTTTGGCGTCGAGCCGGAGTTGGGTCTGGAGTCGGTTCAGGCGAGGTGCGTACAGTTGCTGACAGCTCTGAGCGTGATGGAGCAACTTCATCGTCATGATCGTCAGAGTCCGGACCTTCAGGCTCGATTCGAGAGTTCGTCTCGGCGGGATTGCTGGTCCAATAGTGATCGCCGATTCCGTAGTCTTTGCGAGTCGCTTCTTCTAGGGGAACGATTACCGTCTGGATGCGAGCTCGACTACGCGGCTCGCCTTTTCGCCGGAATTTCTTGAAGTTCTTGCGCCCATTCCATTGGTCGTCCCATCGGTCCGAGCTTTGATCCTCACGCGCTGGTGCATTCCGAACGGGAATTTCCATTTCTTCCACGATGGCCAAGTTCTTCAATTGGTCCACATCTACATCACCTATGTCGGCTGGATGTGACTCCTCCTTGGCCTTGCGTTGTTGCTCTTCATCTTCTCGGTGCTTTCGCGCGGCTTCGAGAACGTCGAGTTTAGGTCGTTTGCGTTTGGGGGCCTCAGATTCGGGGGCTACAGCCTCACCCTCGGGGTGATGGCGAGTCATCTCTGCACGACAACGCTTCATTGCACTGGCGCCCGGGAGAAGATCGGCGACCGTCTCCTCCTCGGGGGTCTCCTTTACTGAATTCAGGGGCTGCGTTGCTTGGGACAGCACTTGAGTTTCGAGACCCATGGGCTGAGTGGAGTTGATATTGATGTCCTCTTCTTCAGGTGTATACACCGGGACAGACTCCATGTCAAATCCGTCATCGAAAGTCTTCATTTTACTGACGTATTCACGCACCCGGGGTGTTTTGCTCCGAGCTGTCAAAGGCTGGCTAGGCTCAGGACCAGGGGGCGATATTACCGATTCGGACACGACAGAAATTGCTCGTTGGGTTAATTGTTCAGGCTCGACCGCTGGTGTAGATGACGAGATCTGACTAGAGCCCTCCTCCGTGGGCAAGGCACGACAGAGGGGTGATGCATCATTTCCCAGGATAGCGTCAAGGAACTCTCGTTGCTCTATCACGCGTTGGTCCGTCATTAGAGCAACTTCATTACCGACGTCAATAGACCATTGCTCGAGATCTGCTTTTGATCGAAAACGAACAAGAACGACACCACCGGAACCATGCCGCTCGCTACCCACGCCTTTCCCTCCTGCTGCTTTTTTCATGAACAGAACGATATTTGCAGCAGTTGTGACCCCATCCTCAACCTGGTAGAAAAGCACCTTTCCTTGGCCATTGTTTATTGGACCTTGCAGGTTTTCAAACTGGGCTGGATCACCGAAGATAAATGTATATCCCTCGAAGACATTAAGACGTGCGGAATTCGGAGCGAAAGCAGCGGCGGGGCGCTGGGTTGGCTCTTTACCGGGAGGTGGGAGATGTTGATTTGGATCGGGCCACGCCGATTCGAAGTCCGATTCGAGAGGACAGAGTGACTCAACGTTCTCAAGATCGCCGGGGGTAGCCGCGTAGACGAGTGCATCGATATATGAATCATCTACTATGTACTTCCCGTTGACGAGTGCCTGAAGACCCTTGGCTGTATTCCGTTTGCGTTGTACCACATGCGTTGTGTGATCGACAATATAGTCCATGATTGTTTTGATGTCGAGATCTTCTAGACGTGAGCGAACATGGGCCAGAGGATCTTCACCTCGCACCTGCTTGGAGGAGGCTGACAAGGTTAGAACCACGGGTTCCCATTTGATCCTATCAAGATCATCAGCTAGAATTCAATCCTATCATCAGCAGATATGCGCACCGGAGTGTATGTTGGTATTTTGCGAGCTGGATGACATGCTCATCGCTCTTCTCCAACTTGCATTCTCCTTGGATTCTCCTTCCATCAACGACTGTTCCTTTCTTCGACTCCAAATCGGTTATAGTGATATCGGATCGCGCTCGTGGTGATAACTGGGCTGGAATTAGCCAGAGAATGCATATCATCGCGGGGGAGCCAACCGTACCCCATCTCTTGGATTGACCGGTGAGATTTCAATGGTCATATGCTTGCGGGATATCGAATTATGGTTCACAGCATGGCGGACTATTCAATAAGAGGTCAGTCAAACCGTGTGATCCTCCAACTGAAGTAGGCCATACCTCCGTCTCGATAGAATCGACCGAATAGATACTTCTTTCCAGGGCGCAACCACACACGCTTCCCTAAGAGGTTTTAGCAATCGATGGATCTGTTTCGATCAAATATCTCACCCTCCAAAAAATCACCGGTCGAATCAAGAATCCACATGACGACGAGTCGGACAGTATTGTTCAGCGTTAGGCTACGTCGCTGAGAGACTCGCGCAGATTGAAACGCGTGTCCACGTGACTCCGCGTCGAATTGATTTCCGCGATCTCGCCTCTTTCATTATCATCCATCAGCCATCGATGGAACACTGGAAAATATGAAATCCTCGGGGGAGAATTCTGCCAGTGATCCACAGCCTGAGTCTGCTCCCGATGAGGATTTTGACACTCTGAAATATCAACTACTCGGGCCTTCTTTAACCAAAGCGGGCCAAGATTCGGTGGATCAGCAGAAGGTGCGCTTGATGGTTGTATCTATGTTTTGAGCTGTAGCTGAACTCGAGTTTTCAGGTATCAGAGATTATCTACAATGCCTCCAAGGGTTCTAAGTTTTTTAATCACGAACAAGATCGGGATCGGAATCTCACGCTGAAAATCGAACGAATCTTAAAAGAAAAGGCACGGCTAGAACGTCTAGACTTGAGCAATGAGCTACGACGTGCCGATGAGCACCTCGCTGAGTTAGAATTGAGCCGCGATCTTTCTCAGCATGTCGTTCATGTGGATTGTGACGCGTTCTTTGCTGCCGTCGAAGAGCTTGACCGGCCCGAGTTAAAGACAGTGCCTATGGCGGTGGGTAAAGGAGTCCTGACAACCTGCAATTACCTGGCGAGGAAGTTTGGGGTTAGAAGTGGTATGGCTTCTTTTGTCGCGAAAAAGCTCTGTCCGCAGCTGGTTCTTTTGCCGATGAACTACGACAAATACACCGCAAAGGCCAAGGAAATTCGCACCATCATGGCCGAATATGACCCTCTTTTCGAAAGTGCGAGTATAGACGAAGCCTATTTGAATATCACAGCATACTGCGACGAAAACCATTTGGAGCCTCATGAGGCTGTGCAACGAATGCGTGTAGGGATATTGGAAACAACCAAGGTGTCTGTTTCAGCTGGGATCGGTGCTAATGCGAAAATCGCAAAGATTGCCTCCAACCTCAATAAGCCCAATGGGCAATTTCAAGTCTCCAATGAACGCGAGGCAATCATGGAATTCATGCGTGACCTGCCGGTCCGCAAAGTCAATGGAATTGGCCGAGTGTTTGAGCGAGAGCTGGAATCAGTAGGCGTCAAAAAGTGTGGTGATATCTTCCCACATCGTGCTTTATTAACCAAGCTATTTGGTGAGAAGGCTTTCCAATTCTTGGCCCAGTGCTACCTCGGACTTGGGCGGACCAAAATCGAACCTGTCGAGACCCACGAACGGAAAAGTATCAGCACAGAGGCCACGTTTCATGACATTGGAGACAAGGAGGAACTGCGAGCGAAACTCTGGTGGGCTGCGCAGGAGCTTGAAAAGGATCTGGCGCGGACTCAGTTTAAAGGCCGCACGCTTGCCTTGAAAGTCAAACTGCATACCTTCGAAGTACTCACACGCCAGACAGCTCCATCTCGTGCCGTCTGCCTGGCCAAAGACTTGTACTCCTTTGCTTTACCCATGCTCGCCAAGCTTGAGAAGGATATTCCGAACATGAAGCTACGGCTTCTTGGTCTTCGCTGCTCGAATTTGGTCAGCACTCAGAAGGTTGGGATTAACTTTTTCGGCATAGCGGCACAACCAAAACCCGCCCTTGAACCTACATCTGAGCCCCCTCCTGTATCGGTCTCTGGTGTAAATACAGATCACGAGATTTGTGCCGAGGAGGCTTTCGAGGCAGCAGCTCGCCAGGAAATACAGGACGAGATGAATGATCTAGAGCAGCTGAGTCAAGAAACACCCGATGTTACTGTCGTTCATGAGGCAGAGGCCACTGCCGCC